AAATGGAAGCTTCACCTTTGAAGCACGTATTACACCATGGAATCTGTTGGACTTCAACACAAGAATTCGAAGCACCGGAAGAGTTTCCATCCAAAAGGGGAATTGGCCACTTATGTCATTGTATCCAATATCTAGTTCTTCAAGCATCCTACAATTGATCAATGTGCGTGGTAATGTTCCATTCATTTGATTTCCATTCAAGTCAAAATGTTGTAGTCGGCATCCCTTGGTAAATATTTTCGGAATGTTGCCATGAATGTGATTCTTCTTCAAATTCAATATGTACAATCCTTTACTGATTTTGGAGATGGTTTTGGGCAACTTCCCAGTCAATTGATTCATACTAAGATCCAAGTACTCGAGTGACTTCAAATCTCCAACCTCAGGTGAAATCGTACCTGTGAGATGGTTTGAGGAAATATTCAGGTAGAAAAGGTTTGTTAAATTCCATATTGTTGGAGGTATTTCTCCTGAAAAAAAGTCGACTGAAAGGTCAAGGACCTCCAAGTTTTGCAAGCTTCCTATTGCTTGAAGGATATTGCCTGAAAATCTATTACTCGTCAGCGAAAGAGAAGTGAGATTTGTCAACAAACCAATTTCAGATGGGATTTCCCCAGTGAAATAATTGTTTTCAATCCACAAGAATTTTAATTGGGTCCAATTTGTGAAAAAATAAGGCAGGATGTGACCAGAAAGATTACTGTTAAAGATATGCAAAGTAGATAACTTGGTCAGGTTGGTCAAGGATAAAGGCAAGGATCCCATAAGTGAATTCCCACCTAAAGACAATCTGGTAAGGTTTATGAAGAGACCAAGCTCCGAAGGAATTGTGAAATTGAGTGGGCAATTGATATAGAGATAAAGTTGTTGAAGATTCCTGAGTTTGCCTAAAGAAGATGGGAAACTTCCTTGAAATGAAGTTAGTTGAAGGAATTCCAGATTTGGCATCAAGCCAAAAATATCGGGAATTGAACCGGAGAAGTTGTTACGTGCTAACCCAATACCTTTCAATTTTGTCAGCTTGGTAAGAATCGATTGCAAGGTACCCTGAAATGAGTTACGAGTAAGGTTGAGATATTCAAGCTTGCCCAAATTGGCGAATAATGATTCTGGAATTTCACCGGTAAATGAGTTATATGACAAATCAAGATAAGTTAGGTTATGGCAAGTAAGTATAAAATTCGGAAATCCCAAGGTGAGTAAATTTTCAGAAAAGCTGAGGTGCGTCAATAAGGGAAAGCTCTGGAATTTTGACCATTCAGGAGATGTCAAGGAATTTAATCCAAAATCCAAATACCGAAGATTTTGAAGATCGCTAATTTGATACGGAACTTGCCCACTGAGATTGTTCCAATAGAAACTAATGTATTGAAGCTCTGTCAGATTTCCAATCTCTGGTGGAATGATGCCGCTCAACCAATTGTGGCTCAGATCCAAGAAAGTGAGCTTGGAGAGACTACCTATAGTAGATGGTATCAACCCATGGAAATCATTATAGTAGAGATTGAGACTTGTGAGATTTGGAAATGAAGCAAAATTGAGTTGGTCAAATGTGCCATTAATGTTTGCACGCGATAACTTTATTTTAGAAATCGACCTCTCATTGTTGCATACAACCCCTGTCCAACT